GGGAAACTACTTCACAAATAAGGCATCTAATTAAATAAAAAGTGTAAAAATTAAGAAAAATGCTAGCCTTATAACATTTAAAACTATGTACTTGCCACAACACACAAAATATTAGTTAGAAGAGCAATTATGAGGACATAGAGAAGAAACATGTAACAAAGGTATAGTTGTGTCACTGCACTTCATTGCTCTACTCACATGGAATCATTGCGGGCCAGCTGGCCATTCTGCCGAGCGGCATTTTCACTCATGGAGCGTTCTCTCTTCAGTCTTCCCACTGAGCGGACCTATGTAAAAGGGGAAAAAGAGGGAGATAAAAGGCAAGGAATTCCAAGAGAGGCTTAGGAGTCTAGCATTGAAGATTTATAAGCTAGATCAGCCTTCAGATAAAAACAGATGTTTTCATGGGTTTCACAGTGATTAGGAAGAAAACATCTGATGACAGGATCTGACATTAGTACCTTTAAAAATTAAGCTTCAAACTTATTGCAGTCCTGCCTTCATCTAGCCACGTGATCTGGTACCAAAATGTATGAACAAACAGAATTTTCAGTGTGTAAGAAAGTAATCCATTTTGATTAATATTATTAATATATTTCTATTGTGTTTTATGAGTCTACAGAATATGGAACTTCATAAATATTTTTCAGCTTATAAAATGTCAATCACATATCATCTATCTGGATGCCACTGTTACACCACTCTCTGAAGTCGGTATTCAGAGTTTCGTTAAAAGAAAACTCACTATTTCTATGTGCTGTTATATCATATGACAGTGAGTTCCAAAGATTAACTATACATGTCAGAAAAATCTCACTGCTTTTCTGCTTTCTGATAACCTGCAAATTAAAAAAAAAACCACCTTGCAATTTTCTCTGTAGTCAAAAGGAATTTTTTGTTAAAATATCTTGAGTAATTCTAAGTATTATGACTTGATTTCTGTACCTACTGTGTAAGCTTACTGAGCGTGCCAACTCCTAACCATCTGTCAGTTAAAATAAATATAGAACTTAAAAGTCATCATTAGAACTACTATAGTGCTTATAAAAATATTTTTATATCTTCCCAATATATGTTGTTATCAAGTAGATCCAGATCGCAGTGGAGACATCATTGGTCATTCCGGTTTTCTTCTCTAACAGATCATGCTCTACTAGGGAAAAAGCAAAATAAATACTAGCCTCTTCATTTTGAGGTGTCTGCTGCGGAGGTCTTTCCAGGTCCAAAAAATCTAGTGGTCGATCACTAAGAGAGATAACACGGGGAGGAGTTTTCAATGCCAGTGGTTTGAATGGAGTAGACTGAAGAAGGTCAAGGTCTGGTGGTCTGGAAAATGGAATGTCTTCACTGTTACCTGCAAGAACATCAGATGCCATCAGTCACTTTCCCTGACTATGCCAAATAATTAGATATTCCTTTCTCTCACATAGTTTATATGTTCAAAATTGTGTCTAAACCTCTTATGAGGACCACATTAATTCACTGTTATTGGAGCAGCATTTCTGAGTAAAATAACCCTGAATAATCCTGAGCACCTGTTACTATAAGTAAGGGCATTTTTTATCTCAAGACATAGTCCTGCTAGGGCTCTATTTGTTTACAAAGATAGTGACTGGTGAGTTTGAAAATTTCCCTCTTTAGGCATAAAATATACGCATATCACAAATTTTGCAAACTGTAAGGCTTTCAGCTGTTCCAGATCTCTCACTGTAAAGCCCACAACCATATATACTAAAGAATTATCAATAGAGTTCACCCAATAATAGACAGATCCTAAACATAATTAGCATTCTGATTATAATCAAATACATTCTAAACAGCAGCAAACAGCTAAGATATAGTACGTCCCCAAAACTTGTTACAGTTACTTTAGCCTATAGTTTATTAGGAAAATCAGTTGTAAATCAATAAAAATTAAATATTATTGCTCACAATCCAGAAATGGTTTAGTAAAATGAAAAGTCAGCGACTAAACTTTCTGTTCATAATTCACTCATTAACTGTCTCCACTACAAGTTACCTCGAACCTATTCAAGAAGTATTTTCAGATTTTCAGAAACTTCACAGGTCAAAGTTGATCAACAATTTCCGTTTGAAAACTAGGAAGCATTTACAGGTTTTTCCTTTAAAATATATCAATATATATTTTTGTGCCCCTAGACATTTAAAGAAATAATTTAAGTTTTTGCCTATTTTTCTTATATCGAGATACAAACATACCTGCCACTACAATTCTCTCTGGAACCTGCATAGTTACACTGGCATTTGGAAATCCTTCTTGGGCACCCTTCTCAAGGTCAGCGTTCGGAGGAGCTACTTTGAGTTTCTCCGGGACCCTCATGCGCTGACTGATTCCTTCGGTGTATTCCATTTCATACTGAAGGCGATTAATTTCTGCCATCTCAGCAGCTGGAGATGGAAATGCAGCCCCACTCATTCTGGTAAAAGAAAACCAAAAGCTATAATGGCAATATATACAACTGACAGCAAGTGACCAGAGGAAATTCATTCGGATCACTAGGCAAGTGTTAGATGATCCTAACCGAACAAACTTATTTAGGGAAACAAACCATAGGATAAAATTCATAGGAAGTCCAATCACAAGAGGCTGAGGTAGAGGGTAATGACAAAAGAACAGAAGTACGTTTTATACAACACTCCAAACTGCACTAACAGTCCTCAAACTGAACAGTGACAGAAAAAGCCCTGGAAATTCTGCAAGTAATACACTGCTCCTGCATTGGCTGGCAGAGAAAGAAAAAACATTGAGAAGACTAGTAAGAAGTTTTCTGGAGATCGGTGAGAAATCAGAAACATTAATTGGTATCTACACAGATCCACTGTACCAACATTTGAGAAAATGGATAAAGCCTACAAAACTGCATGTTGAGGAGGAGAAACTAAAGAAAGGACTAGGCCTGTGCAACAGCCTTCTGTTTGCTATCAATCAAACAGATCTCACTCAATCTTACCAGTACAGAATTTCCTATCAGCCACCTGTCAAATCAGTTTGACCACTTAACATACTCACAAACCATTCCCAATCAAAAGCAATCCTGTAAACTTTTCACTTTTGAATTTTCCCATAAATGAAAATCTTACTTTTGCAAAACAGATACCAGAGGGGCAGAGAAAGAATAAGCACTTATCTAAGCTTAAAAGCGTTTGCCAATATTTTCCACTTATATTGGAATTTTCCTAGAAAGAGAAGGGAATTTCCTAAGAATTGGGCTGTGAGAAACTTATTACTTGGGCAATGGCTGGGGAGTCATATCAAAGGCTTAGACTAAGATAATCATTTTTTGGAAGGCTTAAGGTTAAGGTTGAAAGAAAAAGAAATCTTAGAGCTGTGTTTGGAGAGGGACTAAAAAGGAGCTGCTAATGGAAACTAGGGGCTGCAAAGGGAACTCAGTAATGAGAGAGGTTTCATCCAGCAATGGCCAGTTAGCCATGTCAATGGGTCAGACTGAGATTATGGTTAGGCTTCAGGTCGAGAGAAAGCAAGCCTAGAACTGTGGTTAGAGCGGGGCTAGAAAGGGACCACCAAAGGGAAGTGTGTGCTGCAAGCAATCTGGGTTGTGAGAAGCTTTTCACTTAGGCAATGGCTGGGGAGGGGGCAGGTGGATATCAAAGGCTCACTCTGAGGTTACAGCTCTTGTATGGGTTAAGGCTGAGAGAAAGCAAAAGCCCAGAAACGTGGTCCAAGTGGGGCTGGAAAGGGGCTGCTAGAGGGAAGCGTGGGCTGCAAAGAAAACAGCTATGAGAAACTTTTTATTAGTCTGGGGGCTTTGTCAATGTATCTGACTTAGATTATCGTTATGGTCAGGGTTCTTCAGATAAGAGAAATCCTGGAGCTGCAGTTGGAGTAGAGAAGGAAACAGGCTGCAAAGGGAACCAGGTTATGAGAAGCTCAGTATTTGGGCAACTGGTGGGAAGCCGTATTGAAGGCTCAGACTGGGATAACAGTTATTTTTAGGGGTAGGGAGCAGAGAAAGACATCCCACAGCAGCGCTTGGAACGCAGCTGGAAAGGAGCCGCCACAGAAAAGTGGAAGCTGCTAAGAGAACTGGGCTGTGAAAAGGCTTTTATATGGGCAACAACTGTTGGCCCTTGATGGTTCAGTCTGAGATTATGGTTAGGATTAGGGTTCGAGTTAAGAGAAAGAAATCCTGGAGCTACAGCTAGATTGTGGCTGGAAAGGGGCTGCCAGAGGGAAGCGTGGGCTGTAAGATGTTTTTTTCTGGGCAACGGCTAGAGGACCTTGTTCAAGGCTTTGACTGACACAACTTATTTTGGGGCAGGAAGGTTCAGATAACTGTTGAGAAAAAGAGGAAGCCTAGAACGGCAGTCACAGTGGGGCTGAAAATGGGCTGCTAAAGGTAACTATAGGCTGCGATGGGAGCTAAGCTGTGAGAAATTTTTTGTCTGCAGAATGGCTAGTGATCCTTGTTGCTGGCTCACACTGAAATTATGGTTAGGGTTTGGGTTAAGAGAAAGAGAAATCCTGATATTGCAGTTGGAGTGGGGCTGGAAAGGGAATTCAGCTGTGAGAAGCCTTGCATCTAGGCAATGGCTGTGAGGTCTTTTCAATCTGTATATATGTATATACATAGCATACACATGTACACACACACACACAGAGCTATCCTGGCAAATCCACTGACAAAAAAAAAACACATAGCTTATGCTAGCAAGAGTTCTTTTAGTCATATTATTGGAAGTAGTTCCCTAAATGAAGCAATGAATCCTGGCAAAAGGGCATTTTTTGCCACTACCATTGCAGCTATGTTCTTTCACTATTTTTGGCAGCAAGGCTACGTCTGGTGCTGCGTGCGCGCTTTAGTATGCTGAACATACAGAACTCTGCTAACAAAATGTTTCAGTGCAGACCATATGCGGCAGGTCAGACAAACTACAAGTCGTTCTGCCCACCATTCAACATGAGGCCATGCAAGACACCTCTAGTCTGAAGACCATATCCTTTCAGTAGCATACCACCATGCTCAATTAACATAACTTGCTCTTAGTACATAAAGACATACCCTAGGTTCCTCTCTCACCGCTTCACCACAGAATGTCTGCTCTGAAACAGACAGATCCACCTAAGGGAAAAATCAGCCTCTGTGACGCTATCTTTTGGTGTTTGTGCTAAGGCTGCAACCATGATATACTGGGAAGATGCTGAATGCTTTCAAACAGTATAGACGCACTATTTCCTACTGAACCAAACTAAGCCAACCTTCTGGGGTATAAAAAAAAGGAACCAAATACTTACAACACCTTATAGTTTCACAGATTCCAAACAGAGACAATCTTTCTGAAGTCTCTCAAAAACCACAAGACATTAGGACACCTTTATCTATTTTGCACATTCCATCTGCATACAGAGAACCTAGTCGACCCTTTATCTGTTGGCATATAATTATAATGAGACTAAGTTACTGATATGCTTGATAGCACCACACAGAAGCAACACTTCCTGTCTTTATCAATCAAATCTCATCATCAAACTAACAGTAATCTTGACACATCAGAAAGAAACATACAGAAAGATTTGGATTGTATAAGATTATATTAAATGAACAGGTTTAGCATATTCCAGATGTGATCCACTTGGGAATCCATCCAGGGATCCTCAGTGCTTCAGAACTTCTCTATCACCGCAGTGCAAAGGAAAGAACCTCATTCATCCGAAAGCCTCACTCACCCCAGCACAGTAGGAGAGCTAGGGGTCAGGGACAAGGCAAGGAGGTCTCTGTTCTATGCAAACTTTTTAAACAATCTGTAAAGAAAACACCTGAAATGATGCACAAGTCCATCTGTATTAATTCTTACTGTTTGTATTTCTCAAGTGAAAGAAACTGTCAGAATCCATATAATTAAACACTTGAATATATATGTTGTTTATATATATGTTGAATATGTGTATGTTGTTTGAATATATGTTGTATGTTGCTCAAGAGGTGCTTGAACAGCTCTGTTGCTTCAAAATGCTTGTTTCACTCTTTTTTTTTTTTTTTAAACCCCTGTCCTTTGGTGTTGCAAGCTAGAATTGTCCCTCTTGTGAGACACAGGCTAGATCAGCCAGTGACATGAACAAAGTACAGTTTTTTGAGATTTCCACATCTCAGAAGCTGCTTTCCATTCCAAAACAGGGTCTATAATCAGTAAAACATTTCCAGGTATATAGGAGTACAGCTCATAACATCAATAAAAAGACTGAGTTTTAAGAACTTAAAATATCAAGAACATCTATTGGCAGCAGTTCATGAAATAGTCACCGCTCATAAGACTTGATGAAATGTGTTTCACTGCTTGTTCACTTGCTCATTTTGAAATATCTGCCCAGATCTGTTTTTTGCAATCAAGTATCACTACACTGCAGCACCGTTTACTTTACATCACAGCTTCCCTAATGTTTGGCATTGCTTCTGGACACAGGACAACATGACAGCTGCTTTCTAGCTGTAAGACAAAACACATACAAAAAAAGGATAGCATTAAAATAGTTACTTTATAAATTATTTATAAACTAAATATCATAGTGTGGGTCTAGCTGTACCTGTCAAGCACCTACAGATACAATAGTTCAGTATCTTCCTACTCTTGCCTACTCCTTGGCATTCAAAATTGTGATTTCTAGCGAATTGATTCTATTCCGACTCGTCTTTTACAAGAGAAGAGCAAAACAAGAAGCACTGAATTTCAGCAAATGAAAATTTAAAATATTTAAACAGTGCTTGTTAACAAAAAGCCCAACTATTTAAAGAGAACTGAATTCAAAGTCACGTGTTTCCTGTAATATTGTTATTAGACAAACCATATTTACAGAAGATGATACTAAATCAGGGAGGAAAGAGGATTTTAAGACTGATATTTATGGAATTAAGTAGTTGTAAAGAGGCACGAGAACAGAAAAAAGTCTGGGAGTGATGAGACAGTAAAAATACAAACACAAATACAAGAGAGATAAAGGACAGAGAGCAGCTGGAGCACAGACAAGTGTCATAGGCTTATAAAGAAGAAGAGAAAGTACAAAAATCCAGCGGAGGATAAGGGAGCAGAGAACAAGAAAAGTTGTATGAGGTGATCAAAAAGTCATGTGGGTTCCTCCTTGCCTCCCTTTCTAAACAGGAGCTGCACCAGAACAGATGGGGATGAAGCAATGCATATGGATCTGAAGGATGACTTTTTGTCAACATTCAGGCAGTAATCAGGCATTGGCCACGTCTGTGCTGCAGTTAGGAACGTTACTATCTCACAATGTTAGCATCCAAGTTAATTTGAGATATATGAAGATGAGTACTGATAACAGCATGACTGTGCCAGCACTCAGGTCAGAGCAGGACGTACAGCCTGCACTGAATTAGTAGCTGCGGCAGCTACGTTGTTATTTGCTCCGGATCTGGTCACTTCAAGGGCGCAACAGCTACAAAGTGCTGCTTTGGCAGGTGTCTATAGATAGCTACTGACAAGGGAAAGGAGCAGATGAGGACTTTAAGCAAAGCTAGGGAAATGCATTATGGGATCCAGAAGACCTTTTCCTAAAACTGTCAGGACATCACAGAATCATTCAGGATCAGAAGCTATGATGTAACAAATCACTAATGGAACAATTTGAGGGATAGAACAACTACGTATAAGCTAAATAGTGAAATGCGTCCAGCAAAGTACAGTTACACACGTGGAACTATTAGAATACATTACCTTAGCACAAGCATGACATGAACAAAAAAAACCCAAAAAACACCTATTAGACATAAACAAGGCTATCAAATCACAAAACTCATAAGGCTGCTTCCTTTTCAAGGAATTCCTTTCCTGTTACACTTTGCAAACAGTCCCTCCGAAGCTCCAGAGCCGACCAGAAACTCCAACTGGACATATTAACGCAAAACACTTTTTGGTTAGTAGAAAAATATCAGAAACTTTAAGGGATAAACTGGCACAGTCTGACAACCATTGCTCTGAAACATCCAGATATTCTTTGTGTTATGACCGTATTAGGAGCGCCTTGGCAGCAGACTGACGTCCATTAAAGTCAGAGGAGGGTCAAACAGGAATTCGCTGTGCGCGATTCTGCTGCTACCCCACTGAAAAGCCCCCATCTCCAGTGGGCGGTCCCACAGCTCACAGGAGCGCCCACGAGAACTCAGCAGTCACTCGGATTCACAGCCGCGGGAAGTGACCCTTTCAGCGTTCATTCCTCTTGACGGAGACTCCCCCTTAAGGGCCAAGTCTCCAAAAGACAAGTCCAAATTTGCCGTCACCGTCAACCTCCCGCTTTAGAAGGCGGCTGCAAGCGTGGCTCATCCTGCTGCTCCAACGTTTCCCGTGACGCGGCGGGAATAAAGAAGCCGGGAGCGCCTAGGGAACCGGGCATACGAGAGAG